GGAAGAAACCGATGCAAACAATGATGAGAGGAGTAGCAGTGAGGCGAAAATAAATGGAAGTGACGATGAAGAAAGATTTTTGGAGATTTCTAAGGAAGTCCTCAAGAAACTTGGGGCCGACATAGAACACATCGAGAAGGTATGATCTTTTTGTGAGGTTCATAAATGCGTTTCCCAATATAATTGTTTTGATTTCCCAATGGAAAATGCAATGCGTAGCTCTCCATTAGCTTGTGATACAAATTTTCCAATTTCTTATACTATTCATTTGTATGGGCTTTTTTATCGTAATAATTAAACACGATTTTGAAAGGATTCACAATGCATGCCATTTGTGTGCTATTTCTTTGATCTACACAATGACTGCTGCACCATATATTTTTTTTTTTTTAATCGATAGAGTTTAGAAATGCTGGTGCTTATATCTGATCTACATTGTGGCAGAGAATGTCGGACCAACTACTTGGCTCTTCTGAGGAGTCAAAAGCTGCAGTTGTTGATTATCATGGTAAGGCCAAGCGGCCTCTTAAGAAAGGTAACCAACTCCCAACATGCTCACCTTGCTCTTTGTGCAACAAAAGATGTTTATTTAACTGGTTCGATAATATTGTATACTATCCAACAAAAGATGTCAAGGCTCTATGATGTATCTCTTCGTTGTAGAAGCTCTAGATATACTTAATGTATCCATTTTCTTTATGAGCCTGGCGTGTTTTAATAATTTTTATTTGTATCTAGTTATATTTTTTTCTTTGTGTTGTCTTTCTCCCATTTACCTTTAACTCTTTCCTCTTTGGTTTCTGAAATTTTCAATCTGCACACATATTTGTAGGAGATCAAGTAAGGTATATTGGGTCTGCTAAGAAGGTCGAATCAAAGCTTAGGTAATTTATTTGATCACTTCTGTGGGCTTTTTACTGTTTGCCTGGGTATAGCGCTACTGTAATATTGTTCATTGGAAGATTTTATCTAACACTTGTTATGACGACTTGGCATAAATATGGCAAAACAGATGTTTAGCTTTTGCATTATGTTTGGAAAACGAGGTTTGGTCTGTCTTAATTTTTATGTGATCCCTTTCGTAGCATGGTCTCTTTTAGTGCTTACGCCCCATTGTAGCATGTTATTTCATGAAATTTTTTCTCTGGTGATCTGGAGAATCCTTTCAGCTATAGGCAAGGCTTGTTTTCCTTGTGTCATGTTTTCACCATGAATTTGTTTGTATCTAGGGCGAGGCAAGTTGGTAGTTAGCTTCATAATTGTTGCATTTTGTTGTTTTTTCTGCTTCAAAAACCATTCTGTATGATGCAGCTTTGAAATTCTTAACTCACTCACCCCCAATGATTGGCTCTGTGCTTCATTCTCGTTTTGTCAGTTAAAGTGTAGAGTGGCATTCGTATATGTAAATACTTACAGTTTCCTATGTTAATGTTGTTAATGCCGTTGCTGCAAGATTGTGCATCTCTGTTTTGTGTATTGATATCATTTCTCCCATGTGCATGGTATATCAATTAGGTTTGAATGAACAAAAAAAGTTTTCAGTTTAAGCCTTCTGGTCTATTTTTAGTCATCTAAAATACACAGTGCCCATACTTTTTTCATGAAGTTTTATTTGAATGTGTTTTCGTAGTCTATAAGAATGTAATGCCTCTAGCAAGTCCATAATGGGGCCTAAATTTTGGGAATTAAGGCATTAAAGGCTTCATCCTATAAATCTGAATACTATAACCAGTGGTTGGGAGTTGGTCGCTGTCCCTATTTGTGATTCTAGTAATCAAACCTAGTAGTTATGATTCCATCCTTATTTTGTGTTGGGTTTTAAATGGATCACAGGGTCGTATTGGGGAAGATTTCTACATCTGATGGTCAAAAGAGTGCTTTTACCGTTATTCCTGGCAGGTGAGTTGGTAAGTCATCTAGTGTGAAAAAACGATAAATGTCTTGGTATTTTTAGGTTTTATCTTTCGTCTTCCAAGTTTTTCCTTTATAATATTTCTTGCTTTTCGATGGATTGGAAATGCCATTGGCTGTCTAGAGGGGGAAGGGAAACTTGATGCATGATTGGCCTTCTTTGTCCTAATTGAGTTCAAGTCTTGAATTTCTTATATTTCTGACAGCTGATCAGAGATGTAGTTCATATCTAGTTGATAACTTGGTTACAGATATAATCTGTCTGTTAAGTTTATGATAAACTGTTTATCCCACTTATCTCATAGTCTAGCTTTCTGCAGATTTTTAATGCTTTTATTTGTAGATTTTTTTTTTTTGTTTCCGTTTTCATATGACTATGTGCTTTGTTATTTTACCTGTCGAATGGTGAAGCTTGTGAAAAAAGTTGTCAACGGGTAGTAAAAGTTTTGCGCAATGAAAAACATATCATCATGTAGCTTCATGTGCATAATATCTTGTATGATACATTGGTCTGATATTATTTGAGTCGATGGCTGCATGGTCTGCCTAGTGGTGTTAACAGTAATTTTCTCATCAACTGCCAAACGTTAATTATGATTGTTCCGAGTGAGTTGGATTTGTTTTTCGGAATCTTTGGGGCTTTGGTTTTGAATAGTTCAGGTGTAGCAAACCCTCTGTTACGATTGTTACCTTCATATGTGTTCATTAGTTCCTCCCAGATTGTTCCTCTGCATCATAGTTTTTCTAGAAATACACCCAGATGTACAATACCATTCGCAAGTCACCCAATCACTTTTTTTTTTTTTGTTAATTGAAGAACCAGATTTTGTTTGGCTGTGAATATCATCATCATATACCTTCATTTATGATATCGATTATTTAATGACATTATGCTCTCTGTGGTTTGTGTAATTTGACTTGCCTGCAAATGTGACATTCTATTAACATAGAAGAGCGCCGAAAAAGTTTGAAATGTTGAATATGTCCTGTATTTTCTCTGACCAAATGTGTATATACTTGCAGGCCGTTGTCTAGCGGACAACGTGGTGAGGTATATGAGATGAGTGGGAACCGTGCTGCAGTCATATTTGACTGTGGCAACGATAAAACATCAGAGGCAAATGAGAAAAAGGCATCAGAGCAGCCCCAGATGTTACATATCCACTGGGTAGATGGTATAATTGCTTTATCCTAGAATTGATGTGTCATCCCTGTGAATCTGGAGAATTACTCGCTATCATAATTAATTATAGCTAACTAACATATATTTTCTACGCAGTCAAAGACCTCAAGCACGATTTGGATATGCAAGCAGTAGATGGCTACATTGCCATGGAGGCG